GATTATAACTTGTTGTGTTTGCTTAAAGAAGGCAGAGGGGAAGCAGAATACCCCCTGTTCTATTAGGGGATAAAACCAGATATTGGAATGCAGAAACGGGTGCATTTGTGGCGGAAAACCGACAACTTTCGAAGGAATAATTCAGAGGCAGTAGAATTCAGATGAGAGTTTAAAGATTGGTATTTATATCATATCCAATTATCCATGGTTTCAGGTGACATTAAATTAACAGGACAACAGCTTTAGTTTGCTCCGTCATATTCTTGAACACAAACATCACACAATTGAAAGGACGGATTAATTAGGAAATGCACCATCTCTTACAAATTGGAAATTGAGACATCAAAATATAGAGCAATTACTGCCCCCCTGACTGTGTGAAGTCTCCATCATGGACATTCAACAAATTACTCATTCTTTTTTGCATTAGGTGTAAATAAACGTGGGGCAAATCGAATATGGATGGGAAAAACAACTGCACCATCTGGTTTTTTATTAAAAACAACAAATGATTTGCATTGCAGAACTAATGAAGTTTTCTGGAATTAATGGACACGCCAAACAGAAAGAAAGAAAAAAGTTGCAAGAGTTCCAACTCAACGGCGCCATATATAGTAAAAAAAACACTAAAACTATCTTATGCTTATCTTAAACTCCGAATTTCCGTAGTCCATCTGCACTTCCGCAATTTGCCTGGCAAGGATTTCTGTATGGACTGAACAACCAACCACATCAATGGTCTCAAGCGTGGAACAATCCTCCAAACAAGAAGGAAGCTCTCTCAAATATCTGCAGCGATGCAGTACCAACTTCTGCAAGCTCTCAAATTGATCATCAGCACTTGTCCATGTCTCAATGTCCAACTCCGACAGTTCCAAGAATCGAAGTTTTCGGAAATCCCCTACTTCCACCTCCCATGTGTGGCCTGAAAAGCAATCATCAAGTAATCTGAGAACCTCGAGATTGGGTAGTCGACCAATGGGCGAAATTTTCACCCATGGAAACCCAAGCCTTGCCAAGGTCAATTTTGTAATACTCGAAGGCAAAGCAAGATCAAATATGACCCGTAGACGATACACCCACAAGTGGAGTGATTCTAGTTGATCGCAAGGTATCACGATCGCATCAAGCTCTTCTTGATCATCCTTAAGGTGAAGGTAGCATTTCAACCTGCGGATGTTGGGGCACTTCCGAAGTTGTTTCTCCATGCTTTTAAGCGACCAAAAACCTACACCCGAAAGGCTTGTCAACTCGTCTAAAACAGGGGAATCTTCAAGATTCTCCCTAGGAAAAACAGCTTTTCCGAATTTTATGGAAAGACATCTCAATTTTTTAAGGTGCCAAAGTGTACAAGGGAATTGAGTCCAAAATCCCGGATGCAGAACAAAAGTTTCTAGGTTTAGTAGGTTACCAATGGATGGTGGGATGGTTGTCATTCCGAGTCCGCGAACTGACAAGTATCTTAACAGGAGTAGTTGTCCTATTTCACTTGGAAACACATAACCCAAATATATGTCCTCCAAATCCAATACTCTGACAAGTTTGAAGATGGGAATGATGGCAGCGAGACGGGATAGATGGTTCTTAAACTTCTCTTCAGAGGACAAAACCAGCAAAGAACGTACATGGGGACTAGCCTCCTCCTTCAGACGATCTACATCTGCGACATCATGAACGCACAATCTCCGAAGATAGTGTGGTTTATAAGCTGAAAGCTGATCATTCATTCTCAAGTGGTCGAAGAAGTTCCCTCTTTTCCCTTCTCGCATACAAAGATCATGCACCCAATCATTAATCCGGCAAGTCTTGGCATCCCCTCTCATTTTTCTTTTTGCAACCACGACTAAGCTTCTTCCAATCAATTCCCTCAAGAAACCTTCAGCCACAGTTACTTTACTCTTTCCCATTTTTGTTCGAACAAATCCTTCAGCTATCCACAGTTGAAACAACCTCTTCACCGAGACCTCTTGACCTTCTCTAAATGTCCCGAAATATAGGAGGCAGGGCTTTAAGTGATTTGGTAGATGATTGTAACTTACCTCCAAGGCGTTCCTGTCTAGTTCTGTACCATCTTCATCTTCGTTGCCTAAACTTAAAGAATCCAGAATTTCCTCCCATCGGTCCGGCCTCTCAGCTGCGAGAACGCCAGATAACATGATGAGCCTCAGAGGTGATCCCCGGCAATGTTCTACCAATCGCATCCCCAGTTCAAGAAATGAAAAAGGCCATCCTTCCCGGCCGAACAGCTTCTGACTTAGCAGGTCTAAACTCTCATCTACAGAAAGTGGACCAAGCACAAAACGTTTGCCCTCACAAAACATTTCTCTATGAATAACATTTGGTCGCCTACTGGTGACTAGTATTCTACTTCCATTATTATAATCAGGCAAGCATGTCTCCCAGCTATCCCATGTTTCAGTGGTATTTACATCGTCTAAAAAGATTAGATATCTCTTTTCCTTCAGACAACGCCGGATCTTCTGCATTAAATCGAGTTGATCAGTCATATCCGAGTAGCTGTAAGGATCGATTTGATGTAAAAGCTCCAAGTATGCTTCCCTTTTGTTGTCGGCCATTGAAGAAACGGAGCACCTCGCTCGAGTATGAAAATGAAGCATAATAGATGGATCATTGAATATTTTGGCCCCAAGAGTTGTCTTACCTGCACCTGCCTTACCACAGATGGTGACCACCTGCAAACGTCTTGATTTTCCGGTAAGTTGATCGATAATCTCTCTTGCCTCATCATAGAAACCCACAATCTCATTCCTATGGGAACGAATATATGCCCAGCTCCCTTCCGCCTTCACTTTAGTGTTCTCAGAAGAACTCTTCAACGGACCATCCTCTTCAACTTTAGACCCAATGATGGTAGGAAAATCAGCTATATTTCCAATGACCGAAAGGATGTCGTCAACCTCGTCCATAAGGATAGAAAGTCGTCGCATCAGGACAACAGCAGTTGAAGCATCACAAAATCGATGGATTTCCTTGGCATATCTCCCAACAGCAGCCTCAATCCTCAGAGCGAGAGGATTCACGTCGGCACCACCCAACTTTCTTGTACACAGAACCAAGAATTCCTGCAGACCTCTCAGCTTAATCTTGTGTTTCACCAGGTCATTGGCAAGGTAAGGGTTCTGGTTCACCCTCAACTGGATGTCCTGCAACGCAGAATCAATGGAACACACAACGGATGAGGAGGCCACCATGTTCAAGTTGAACTAACAAACTCTCTTGGCTGAAAAGGTGAGGAATGTAGAGTTTATGATCAGATCTGGTTAATGTAAAAAAGGTCAAACAGACCAATACAGTGAGTGATACACAATAGTTTAAAATGTTTTTTTAAGTGCAACTTTAATCTTTTTTTTTTTTTTGGTCAATTATTACGCCCATCAAAACATATGGGTTGTTAACACGAGATTCCTGATCACATGTGGTTCGGTACTTTTATTTTTAAAAAAACGAAAGACTATTACTCCACCAACTGGATAATCGTCATTCTCTACGCAAACATGGACAACAACTTGCGCACGTTAATCAATGATATCAATGGATGCTAGCGCCAGCAGAAAATTGAATTCTTCAAAATTTGAATTACACTCAATGTGAATCATTTTTTAAAACAACCAAATGACTGATTCATATTTTAACTATTTATAGACTTTAGATGATTATTTGGATTACAAAACACGATATTTATTCAGTTATACTCCCTTTGTCCTAAAATTCTTGTCCAGTTTGGATTTTCATTTTTAGTTCAATCTATACTGAAACTGAAAATCAAAACTCGATAATAATTTTGGGATAGAAGAATTATATAATTATATGGACGTTTATATAATTTGTCTTTGCTTTATGAAAGGAAGAAGTATTTTATTACGATTGCTAAGAATCACCCAACTACCATTAACAAAAGGGGGTGGAATCGTCCACATAATAAAGTATGAGACATCGTTTTTGGCATAAAAAGTTAGTTCGTGAGCAACAGAGTTCTCTGAACGGAGGCACCAGAAGACGCCTAGGGAGGATGAGTTGCTGAGCCGTTGCCGTAGTTCCTCCAGTAGTGGATTGCAAATGATTGGGCATACATAGTCGTCTTGGAGAGCCAGGATGGCATTGACTGAATCACCTTGTATAGCAAAGTTGGTTAATTTGTCTTTGCTTTATATTCAAATTTACAGTAATCAACAAAAATTCCGAATGAGTAATAAGCTCTCATTCATTGCAAACCAAGATCAAATCCAATTCAAGGAATGTATTAAAAAACAAACAAACAAACAAACAAACAAACAAATTGCCAAAGGTATAATATATAACTACAAACCATTTCCGATCCTCTCTGCTGCGGCACTCATCGAATGCGTATCTCGAATGATGAATTTCCGGCATCCACCTGTTCTTTCTCAACGTCTTTGGCTGCTCTTTTTAAACTGTCGGAACAAGAAACGATAACAATGCTCTCAAGTTCTAGAACACTTCCTAAACATAAAGGAATTTCTTCCAATTTGCTACAGTGATCCAACACCAACTTCTTCAAGCACGGAAATTGATCATTGTCATCAGCTGTCCACCGGACAACGTCCAACCGAGACAATTTCAAGAACTCAAGTTCACGGAAATCCTCTTGTTCCACATCCCATGTGTCCCCTATGAAGCAGGAATCTAGTAATTTGAGAACCTCCAGGTACGGTAATTTACCAATGCTTGAAAGTTTCTCCCAGGGCAACCCAAATCCCGATAAAGTCAATTTTTTAAGCCTTGCAGGCAAACAAAAATCGAAGAGAGCGCGACTAATCATTACTAAATCAGAGGACTGCAGCAAGTGAAGTGATTCTAATTGACTCAGAAAGTTAGGAATCACAATCTTGTCCAACTTATGATTTCTATCAAACAGTCGGGAAAGATCGCATTTCAACCTGTGGATGTTTGGAAACCTCCGCATTTGATTCTCCATGCTGTCATGAGAATAAATAACTACACAAGAAATGCTTTCCAACTTATCTAGAACAAGGGAGTTATCAACATCTTCACTGGGCAAGATACCACCTCCCAAATTTATGGAAAGCCATCTCAGTTTCTTAAGATTCCAAAGAGTGTGTGGCAATGAAATCTTTGACCGTATTGTTTCTAGGTGCACAACAAAAGTTTCCAGGTTTGACAGGTTACCTATGGATGCTGGGATGACTGCCATTCCACCTTGAACTGACAAGTATCTCAACTGAAGTAGCAGTCCTATTTCACTTGGGAAGACAATGCCTATATGGATCTGCTCCAAATCCAATACTTTAAGAAGTTTGAAGATGGGGATGATAAACGAGGTAGCCAGCCAATATTGTTGGTAGTGCAACTTCTTTTGAGGGGAAAAGACAAGCAACGTACGGGCACGGGGACAAAATAACTTGGCCTCCTTGAAACCATCTCCATCATCATGAATGCACAATCTTCGTAAGTAGCACGGCTCATTATAATCTGAAAGCCCGTCAGCACCGTTCAATAGATTGAAGAAGTTCTCTTTCTTTGCTTTTCCCAAACAATATTCATGAAGCAAATCATGGATCCGGCAAGCTTTGGCACCACTCTTGGATCTTGGTTTGGTAACCATGACTAAGCTTCTTTCAATCAATTCCCTCATGTAATCTTCGGCAACTTTTCCCTTTTGCACAAAGCCTTCGGCAATCCATAAACGAATCAACCTCTTCACTGAAATCTCCTGGTCTTCCAGAAATGCCCCAAAATACAGGAGGCAGGGCTTTAAGTGATCAGGCAGGTGCTTGTAACTCAACTCCATAGTGCTCATGAATTGGTCAGTATTTGATACGCTGCCTGAATGTAATCTGTCCCGAATATCCTTCCAGCTCCCTTGGTCCACTGTTGCTAGAAGCCCAGCCACAGTAACGATTATGAGAGGTAATCCGTTACATTTATCTGCAATTTGCATCCCAAGTTCAAGTAGTGCAGGAGTCCAATCTTTGCCATGTAATAGCTTGCTTTGCAGTAACTTAAAACTCTCATCTTTGGTAAGTGTAGAAAGTTCATGCGGTTTGAGCACGAGCATAGCATCAGGAACAACATTACAATACCGACTGGTGACAAGAATTCTGCTTTCAGTGTGATCATTAGGGAAGGATTGCTGCAAGCTATTCCACGCTTCAACAGTCCATACATCATCCAAAAAGATTAGATATCTTCTTCCTTTCAGAGAACGACGGACCTTGTTTGCTAAATCTTCTTCAGTCATCTCAAAATACATTTTCGAATAAACTCGATCCAGAACCTCATTGAGCACTTTCGTGTTGTCTGCCAAATCTTTTGCGGTCATCTCAGAATACCTTTTAGGATCAATTTCATCTAAAATCTGACAAAACACTTTTTGTTTGTCTCCTGAATCTTTTTCAGTCATCTTATTCATTTGATCTAAAAACTCCTTCAATATTATCGCTTTATCTGCCAAGTCATCTTCAGTCAACTCAGAAAATCTTTTGGGATTGATCTGAAACAGCAATTCAAGCAACACTTTCCGTTTGTTTGCTAATTGTTCCAACTCCGTCTCATTAATCTGATTTAGCAGCTGAATTAACACACTTCGTTTGTCTAATACTTGAGAAACAGGGCACCATGCCCGAACATGAAAATGGTTCACAACAACTGGATCATTGAATATCTTAGAAGCCAAAAACGTCTTACCTACACCGGCCATTCCCCAGATAGCAACAGCCCTCAATTGTTTTGATCCTATTATTAGCTGGTTTCTAATGGTACCTGCCTTGTCATCAAAGATTATGGCTTCATTTGTTGTTGAGGGAGGCCTTTTGGGGGGGTGAGGACTCGATACCGAGATGGCTTTCTTGGCTTTGATGTCTTTTTTATTGCCATAAGGAATCTTCATAACGCCGGTCTTGATATCCACCATTTCTTCAATGATGGATTGAGATAACAATGAAAGGGAATCTGAAACATCTCCAGCTGCTAACTGGTCAATGAGAAATTCCACTCTAAAGGCCACCTTGAGAACTTGATTCCATAGAGGTTGGACTTCCTTAATTTCTTTGCGGAATTCCTCAGTCTCCTTTAAGAAAGATCTCAAGGATGACAAATCTTCTGAGAGAGCTTGAACAAGACTCTTGGCCCTTGGATCAACATTACCACTTATCAGCTCCATCAGATTTCCCAATAACGAGTCAACAAAACCCAATTCATTGGTATTGGGAAAGTTAAATGTTGCAGGTTGTGGAAATTCCTCTTTAACTTCTGATTGAACAACCTTAATGTCCTCCAACAAAGCTTGGAAATGGGGATTGGTCTCTACATGTGTCTGATGAAACGAGAAAATTAAGATTGCAGCATCACACACCAGAGCTCCAATTCGATCCCTGATGTTCTGGTTAAAGCTTTTTGGCTGCTGCTTCAGAATGGTCCTCAGGAATCTTAATCCTTCGTATAGAATTTGGGGTTGATCCTTCACGGAATCCAAATGACCCATATCTAGACGAAGCAGATCCCAAAGATCCGATATAAGAGTATCAAGGAAATTCTGGCAGACATGAGAAGGAAAATGCACCTGTCTGGATGACTTTAGCCCATTCAGAGCTTCAGTGTACATTTGACAAACCTGAGAATCGACAGGCTTGATTTTCTGAAGGAGTTCATAACATTTGAACTGCATTTCTCGACACCAATTTTCGTCAAACTCAGCAGGCGGACCTTTGAGGAAGAAACGTGCTGCAATGATTACAACAGCTTCAAAGTGAGTCAGCAACCATTTGAGATGCCTGTTCTCAACTCCAGTCTCCACAGCTAAGTTGAGGAAATTCTTCAAAAATATCATCTGCTCCCCCAAGGCTCCCATTGCACTGATCAAAATGACAAGGTGAAAATTTTCATTTCTGAAAATCATCGGAAAATCAGCTACATTCCCAAGAATTGAATCAACCATCTCCAAAACGTCATCTGCCGTGAGACTAATTGTCCGCTGCATCTGATTTGACATGCTAATATACCATTCATCAATTTGGTCTTCCAAAGCCAGGATCTCGTCCATAATGATAGGAAGCCGCCATTGCATCAGGGCATCATCAGCAGTTGAAGTACGGCAAAGACAAGCAATTTCCTCGTCGTAGCTTCCAACAAGATCTTTAACCCATACCAAGAGGGTCTTCGGATCCGCATCCTTGTCCAACTTTCTGGCACAAACAATAAACGCCTCCAGATTTCTAACCCTGATTTTCAGTCTAATCATTTCAGAAAAGACTGCACGATCAGAGCTCCACTGCTGCTCCGCATCACCCAAGGCAGACAAAATGGAAGAGGAGGCCATGTTCAACAATGGGAATCTGTAAAGAATAGAGATTGGCAACAATGGCTCCATCAGCTTAATATTAAATCAGGACAGCACACATAATCAGTATAAACGCTCGGTAAAACTGCCGGCAAAAGGAAAGAAGAAAAAAAAAAAAAAAAAACTCAAATCTTTCTTTTGGACATTTAAACAAACACAAAACATACCTTGCCAATTTCTGAACACAAAATTCCTAGCTGAATCCAAACTAAATCAAACGAAGATTAAAAATTTTGTTGGAAAAACCGAGGATACAACAGAAACTCAGATTTAGAAGTGGTTAATGTTAAAATGGAGATTGTCGATGATCATTGTACAAAGTAGAAACTCAAGTCAACTGCTCTTTAATTTCTTTCCTCCTATACATAGAGTATAAAATAATGACACACGGCAGGAAAGAGATAATGATATTCAAGTTCAACGACGTAGTCACCATATAGAATTGAATACTGCACTTTCAAACAAATACTTCCTAGCCCAAATGATATGTACTAATTTATATTAATAATGAAAAAACCGAAAATGAAAATAAAAAAGAATCGATACAAGAAGACAACTTAGACCACGTTAATCACCATGGAAGCCGGTGCTGATTGCAATGGGAAAACCGTGAGTGAAGTAATATTGTATTCCGGTGGAAGAAATTTGGTCGGCCTTCGAGTTTAAAAAAACATTTTATGTAGGCGTAGAACACAAACAAATAAAATTCAAATTGCTGGTAAAAGCATGATCTGGCTCCAACATAGTTATTAAAATATTTATTGGAAGAGAGTCGTATCAAAAAAAAATTCACCCCACTTGAATTCGAATTAATCCAAATAATGAATTTGGATATCATCATATACTTAAATTTATCAAATTGCTGCAAAATGATTTTTATTAATAATGACACGAATGGTGCTTAACTATTGGCATTAATTCTCATCTATAATACTTACTTAAAGCAGCAAACACGAAAGACACGTATCACACTAGAATAAAAATTTTCCCTTCAAAGATTCTCAGTGTTTTTCAGTACAAAACTAAATCAACGAGAATACGCCACGTGGCTTCATATATGTGTAGAAAATTTCAATTCTGAGTCCATTTTCAAATGAGCAAATTAAATTTAAATATTTAAATTTGAAAAACTTTTATTTTAGGGAAGAAACTAATTAGTTACGTTTGACTATAAGTGTTGTTTAAATTTTCATATAAAAAATCAGCAAAACTGATTTATGTAACTAAATTAAATAGTACGTATCGGTCACAAAATAGGAACTTTAAAAAAGAGTCCGTAAATCTTTCAGATTTGATAGTCTTCCAATTCATGTATTATTCTTTTCACAGTAATCATCTCATATGCATAGTCAACGCGTTTTCCAGCTTTAAATACCTGTGTTAAAAAAAGAAATGATCTCATCATATCCCTTATTTAATGGGATAATATAATCAGTTAACAGAAACCAAAAACATGCATATTTTGTATAATTATCACCATATCATTCAATTTTTATGGTAACGTATGGAAATTGTAATGCATTTAAAACTCTAAAAGGATTCCTATGAAAGAAATTATACTTGAAATAAAAAAAAACCAATCAATATATGTTTTGCATAGACGTACATATCTGCAAGCTTTCTGTGCATATCAACAACCACTTTCCAATCACAGAACAAATCTCAAAATCTTTGCCTTTTATCATCACAAATTAATTTACACAAATATACTATGAGACAATATGTTACCTGTATAAATACATCTATTCTCCTCACAGATCCTGCACCAGACCATTCTTGGAATTCGCAAAAATCAGATTTTCAGATTCTCATATTAGCCATATTTTATTAATGGCTGAAACAAACCAAATTGCAATTTCAGTTGTTCAACCTGAAGGTTTTGTTGAAACTGTGAATGAAAATGCTGTAGATAATCCAATTGTCATCCTATCTAAAGATGTCATTGTTACACTACCAAACTAAACAAATATTGCAGTTGTTGAACCATCAGATAATGTTGAAACTGTGAATGAAGATGCAGTTGACAATTCTATGGTGAAATCCATCAGAAGATGTCATTGCTACACCACCAAATGATGTTGGTACTATAGGTGTTCCCATACTTGCTGTACAAAGATACATCGTTGACATCAATGAATTGATTGATACAAAAAGCAACCATTTCACCGTAGTTGTCAAAGTGATGAAAACTTTGGGAGGTTCCAGAAGTATCCAAAAAAAAAAAAAAAAAACAAAGTGAAGTCTGTTGAGATGTGTTTGATTGATGCTCAGGTATTCACTATTCCATCATAATTGGTTTTAAAGTTTTTTCATGCACAGTTATTTTCCTGCAGTCTATGTTATTAGCTATTTGTATGCATTTATTAGGGAAGCAAAATTCAAACAACCATTCCTGGAAGAATAATTAAAGATTTTGCAAATTCTTTCAAAAAAGATTGTGTTAGAAGATTATCAAGATTTGACAGTTGTCTAAACATTAGTGGGGGATTCAGGTGTGCTAAGCATGAATACAAAATTGTGTTCATGTCAAAGACAAATGTTGAAGTTGCATTTGATTTTGACATCCCAGATCATGTGTTCACACCATTGACAAAAGTTACAAACTTTGTGGCCAACTTTGATTATTGTTTTGGTAAGATGATTTTAAAGTTGTGGTGAAATTTCCTTATACAAATCTGTATAAAAATTTTAAAATATTTTTAACTATGTAGATTTGATAGGCCACATCATGGCTTGCAGCGATCCAATTGTTGAAAATGGAAAGAAGAAGATTTCAGTGGAGCTTGAAGACGAAAGGTGAATGTTACTTCTTCTTTTTTTTTTAAATCTAAACAGTAATTATTCGTATTGCATTATACTGTAGGAATTAAAACATTGGTACTAAAAAAATGTCTTCTGTTTTTCAGGGATGACAAGCTAAAGTTTACTTTGTGGAGGGAATACGGTGATCAAGCCACTAAATACATGTCTAAAAGTCCTCCGTTTCCTGTGGTCCTCATTGTTCAATATGTTAAGTGCAAAAAATACTACTGTGAGTAACCTTTTTGCTTATATGTATCTGAATTTACTCATATTAAATTAAAATTTATGAAATTGATATAATCATCATGTAATTTTTTTACTATGTAACAGCAAAAGCTTCTGTTACTACTAATCTTTTCAATGGGAAGATATATCTTGATGATATGGCAATACCCGACATATCAGAGTACAAAGACATGTATAATTATTCTTACTAACTGCTATAATTATCACCATATAGTTGCATAATCACTGTTTTATTCATATTGTAGTTATTTGGAAACAATATATACAGAAGTAGTGCCAATGAAATGAAAGCTACAAGTAT